CAAACTACTGGCACAAACGAAACATTCTTCCAGAGGGACACAACGATAAGTGAACTACAAAGCCTCTTTAATTCAAAGTTCATGCATCTGTACCTGAGTTGAACACAAACTCATTTACGTGGGAGCTTGCTAAGTTATTATTGTAGGTCACAAGATGTAGTCAACGCAGGGAAGTGCAGCCTTGCGTGCTGCAGCAGGCCAGGCACGAGGCACCCAGTGCCAGCTGCCTGCAAGGGGTCTGCACAGGGCTGCAGCAGGCCAGGCACGAGGCACCCAGTGCCAGCTGCCTGCAAGGGGTCTGCACAGGGCTGCAGCGGGAGCTGAGGGTGTCCCACAGCTGCAGACGCTGACCCCGGGTCTCAGGGCCGGCTTCAGCACGAGGCTGATCGTGGACATCTCCCCTGTGCCGCGCTGGGCTCCTGCTCCACGGAGCCCTGTGCGTAGCACTCGCTCACCCGCACACAGCCCCTCTGTGAAGAGGGAGGGGAAACGAGACCACATCTTAGCAGCCTGCAGGCTGCACGTGAGCGCTTTCCCGTACGCGCCTTGTCACCTAGGGAGGCATGAGAGTCCTGAAAAATCCACTGTTCTTTTTCAGTTTACGATGAGCGCGCTGTGCTTGGCAGAATGCTGCTTTTCCAGCACACACTGTGAGCATATAGCATATATTGCCTGCTAAGGCATACAGTGCTAGGCATTCAGGAGAGCTTGAGAGCACAAGGGTAAATCTGCAGAACAAGAGGGGGGCAGGAAGAGACAAGTATTCATCCATACTGTTGGCTTATCCTGATAAAGTGGATGAAACTATCCAGACCCGAGCTTGCTTTTGGAGCAAAGACACTGCTTTGCTCCAGAGAGAAGGCAGTGGCACGCAGGGGTGATCCGCAGGGAACACGGGCTCTGCAGCAAGGCAAGGAACAAGCAAAACTTCCAGTACAGACACACACACACGCACACTGGGAACGAGTGACAAACGGGGCAAGCTGAAAGCTTCTCAACTCAGATCTCCGTAAGAATGGAGGAAGATGAGTTTCTACCCAAACCACTCAGGCCTCCTACACTTACCTAAGTGCATATCCTGCCACTCTGACTAAAATTCTCCAAAATACTTCACAGATCAGATTATTTTCAAATAACTAATTATATATTTTTACTGCAAAATGTAAAATAATACTTTTTTTTTAATTAGGCAACAAAAATAGTGCAAGAAACACACACTGTTGGGGCACTGTAAAAGTCAGTTCTTAAAACCAAAAGGCTCAAACAAAAAAAAAAAGCAACTCTAGCTGAAATCAATAGGAAAAAAGAAACTGTTTACAGAAAAATATATATATATATATATATATATGCACTCAGTGGTATTACTAATATCACATGCCAGTTTAAGACAACCTACAAAAAGGGCTTAAGCTATGGAACGACTTGAGAAAACTGCTGTAAGAATAAAATGCAAATATTTAACAGTGGTGAAATATAAGAAGTTTGGCTAAGATGAAAAACTATTTTTCTTAAATGAAACATTCTCATTCTAGTCAACTGAGAAAGTACGAAATAAGGTTTTTAATTAAATATATTGACTTACAGAAAAGTAGCTAAGAGACCAACATAAACTCATACTGACTCTATGCAAGTCTTCTATGAGAGCCCAATCAGGTTGAAGAGACAGCAACACCCTTTAAAAGAAAAAGGATCAAACCTCCAAGCCAATAAACCTATCTCCACCAACTCAACATGTCTTAATCTTAAATCCAGGAAAATTATGCCTATCGACAGAAGCATTCAGAATAATTTAGGAAAATCTGTTTATCCACAAATAGAGACTAGGTCTCTGAAGAGTTTTTTAAATCATGTCTAATGTAAAAATCGCCATAGAACTAGTTTCCTCAATTTTACTCTTCAAAATCCATTCTGTTTAAGCAGTAGTCTAGAATGTTAAAAACACAGGGTATAACGTGCAAAATATTTAGAATTACTAATCGAAATTACATTCCCCTTTAATTTATTTCATTAAAGACACGCTTTCATGTGCATTGCTATTTTGTATACAACTATTTCACTATGCCCAATGTATGCATCCTGTACACTTGAACAAGAAAAAGAACATTCCATAAGACTTCAGTTTTCCAAAATAAAAACATAAAGTGTATGATATAGAAATGCTTTTCTCATACTAAAAAGAACACAAAAAGAAATGTGAAATAAAATTGTTTACAACCCTAGAGCACAGCACTAATTAATTTTTTATGGTCTCTTACTATTTGTTCCAAATCATATCAAACTATACTAGCTAAGAACACAATATTCTCCAGTGAAAATACACACAAGAGGCAATGGAGATGATTTTTTTTTTAATCCTTTAATACCAAATGGCTTTCTGTACGTAAACTACTTTAAAAACATAAAATTATTTTCTGCGGCTTTCTGTACGTAAATGGCTTTCTGTACTTTAAAAACATAAAATTATTTTCTGATATATCTATTCCTAGAAACAATATACTTAGATTTCCTAATTTTTTCATAAATTAATGCCATCACTACATACAAAAATACCACTGCAAAGTCTCTAATACGAAGGCTTCCTTAAGGACAGATATGCAAGAAAAGCCAAGATTTAACAATGCAAGTTTCAGTTCCTACTTATGACAGCTCCAAAACCTCAAGAGAATGATTGTAATTTCAAATATTTTAATCTCCTAAAAATATTTCAAATACATGTCCTATGAATATAAGTGTTATTTTGGCATTTTATTTGCAGAAGATTTGTTTATAGGAAGAGACACAGTATCTCTTGAAGGAGCACAAAGACAATAGAGTATTTAACAACGGAGGTTTTTTCCGATGTGGTTTCCTGTAACAACACATTGGAAAAGCAAGTATGTTCCGTCCGTCAGCTAACTTGCAGTTGTTGGGAAAGGCAACCTGTGTGACACAACTTTTCCCCTATGAGACTGAAAGCAAAGGAAGGAAATGCTGTAGGAGACACTCAAATCAGAGTCTCACAAACCAGTCACCTTGAGTCCCTGTCCTGGAGGACACATCCCGCAGGATGCACTGCTGGTAACACGTCAAACTGCTTCCATCTTTCAGGAGATGCTGGTTACAACCAACATAGGGAAACTGATTCCTAGATATGGTAGAAATTAGCTAATACTGAATGCATTTGCTAAAACATTTACAGCTACTGATTGACCTATGCTAGCAATAGCATTTAATAAAACAACAGCCAACACGGCACATTTCATCACAATTCTCAAAAAGCTGTTCAGGGATTTTGATCATTAGGTTTCGTTAATACTAAAGGAAGTGTTGAAATACTAACATTAAAAAAAACACTACAGTTGCAGAAGTTATAAAGTAGTAAAAAGAGGAATTGGTTGCTTATTAGTACTCTCATGCTGGTATTTTACTCTCATCACTCCTATTGTGCAAGCAATTCTTTGACTTGTATATACAGAGAAATCTACACACACACACATATTTTTGCAAGTATAACCCTGGCCCTTTTCAGTAGGTCTGTTTAGGCCAGCTGAACACAAGGCACCAATGTGCTCTTGTGGCTAAACAGGAGCCTCTGCACCGGGGGCTGCGTGAGAGGAACACGGCAGCAGCTCAAAGTGCCTCATGAGCTGGAAGCCACCCCAGAGTCCAGCACCCTTCCAGGAGCAGGGTGCCAGAAACGGAAAGCAGAGACTGTCAGGAGCCTGCAGCACACGAGCTGCAGGGAGAGGCAGGGGGACGCTAACCAGTGACCTAATGGCAGCCTACAGGTTTCTGTGAGACACGGAAAGACAGAGCCCAAACCCTTCTCAGTCGTGCCAAACGGTGCCAAAGGCTGCGGCTACAAGCTGGTCTCTGGACGGTTCCCTTTGGATACCGGGCTGTGGAGGGAGCTGTTCGACGCCCTTGCTGGGCGAGTTAACCTTGTGCAGGTTGGCAGCACTCCTGCTTCACGCAGGAGGTTAGATTAAACGACTACCGAAGTTCCTTCCAACAGGCATTTCCATAATTTTATGGCTTTGGTATGCGATGCCTTGGAGTCTCTTAAAAGCAAAATATTTCTGTTTTGTGAAATATAAACTGCAAAATAAGTCAAATGAATTGGTCCCTAGAATCCTATTACATCTTTTATTACAGCCATCAGTCACCATTGGGTGGGTCTAGCTGCCCAAACAGAGGCATCTACTACCATCTGAGACAAAACAGAATAGCTCAGACACACTCAGGATGGGGCAAACACGACAGAGACCTGTGTGAAATCTGCACTGTTCTGTACTAGCAGTTGGAGACATGGAAGAGCATCCTAAAGCTCACAGCAGATGCGAGTATTTAGACAAGTGAATTTTATCCTGTTGAGACAGACACATAACCAGTTACAGTCAGAACAAGTTTCTTGCCAGTCTGTATTTGGTAAGACACAGAGTTTCTTCTATTCTGAAATGCCAGCAACCTCAGAAATTAAGTAAGACGACGTGTTTCAAACCAGAATTAGTATCACTGAATAGCTTCAATCCTGATCAGGTTTTAATCTGTCACAAGAAAACATCACCTTTACAGAGAAAGCATGAGAACCTGTCTGAGAACAAGAAACTATCGACTCTAACCAACCAGAGCTACCGGTTTGAACAGCGGAGCATATGATGAATGACAGAAACCTATGAACTTTTCTAACATTAATTCATCTCGGAAGAATCAGACAAAACCATTCTTACAGTTATCTCAAATTATCTTAAGACATACTGAGTCTTGTCTGACAGACAGGCAAGGGTCATGGAGAACATCAGTACATACATTGAACCACCAGGCTGCAGAACAGCAGCTAAAATGAACCTGGCTCACACATTTCAGTGAATGCTGTTGTCTTAGCAGACAACAACAAAAACTTTGAAGTAAGTTTTGTTGTTAGAGCATGCTTTGTCCATCATACAACCAAATTTGCTTTCCTGTGGAAATACAACTTGCCAACCCTATTTGATTTTTTTTCCCTTTTATAATAAACTCACCGAGTGCCATCTGCTTTCCAGCTAACTTTGTATGGCTTCTGCTCTAAAAATTTAATATTTTGCTTGTCCATAGAAACAGGCTGTGCTCCAGGGAATCCAGACCTAAAAGAAGAACCATGTTTATTTATGTTCTACAAAGAGTAACCACAGACGGTAATGCATTTTTTACACAAGACTTAGAGAAGTCACACTTTGTACTAGACTTGCTGCAAGGTTAACTTTCAATTAGAGCACCTTCCCCAGTAAGGTGTTTTGCAGGAGAATCCACATGCTTTTTGATAAGAACTTTTTTTTTTTTTTTTTTTGTCATGAACAAAAGAATTACTTATAGCTTCCAAGTTGTATTTTTAGGTGAAGAGAGATTTTAATTCAAAGCTGAACTATCAGCATCAGCACACTGCAGTTGCTCATAGTTTTTTTTCTTGAGTCTTCCGCTTTCAAAAGGAGAAACTTATAGTTTGAAACACTAAAAACTATGTTCCCATTAACATAATTTCAAGTTGACTTTAACTACGTTAAAGATCTAGAAGTGAATACTATAAAATCAAAGTGAATTGCAGCCGTATGAAAAAGTCTATTGCTTGAACACTACATTTTACACAAACAACTGGACTAAACTACAGCTTGAAATTTGCCTAGCAACTATTCATATGAAAACGTTTTGTTAATC